CCTAGCTGGAATGGTCCTCAAAGACGGGTAAGACACTCAGCATCCTCTACCAACCTAAGACAAGGCTCTAGGCCAAGCTGCCAGAGTTACCAATGACGGGTAAGGGCAGAAGTAACTGAAGGCAACCTAAGACAGAGGTGATTCTCAACAAAATAAAAAAGGGGGAGGTGTAGGCAGCCTTTGGACAAATCAAGGCCAGTCTTGGCTTGTGGAGTTCTTGGGATAAGAAAGTCACATACTCCCATCCTGAAGGAGGGTGTTAATCAAGAACACTCTGTTAAAATTACCTGTGCTACTGGAGGCCCCAATAAGTTGCATGCATATGTTGTTATCTTTTGTACTTCTTTGTGCTTCTTTGATCTACAGCTGGTTATGTATAAATACCACCGAGACATTAGAATAAACGAGCATTGATCAGCCTTGTTGTCTTGGCTCCAATTCTCTGTGCTCTTGTCCCTCTTTTCATTCCCACTCCCTCCTTCAGGTTCCATTCGACTGGTGTGGCTGGCCTGCACAGAGGCTGAGGCCAGGAGCCTGGAACTCCATCCAGGTCTGCCTCATGGACTGGAGCCGCCATCCACGGCCTTCCAAGAAAAAAGCTAGATTGTAAGCCGAGCAGATGGGAATTGAACTAGCACACCAATATAGGTTGATGGCATTACAAACAGTAGCTTAACCAACTGTACCACAACATTTACTCCCTACCTGTTACTTTAACTTGTAGCTTTGTTTTAAAAAATCATGTATGCCTTTGTTTAATGCCAAATTTTCATAATTATTAAAGTAATGTACTTAGTCCACCATAGTAAAACTCTGTTGTTGTCTTGATCTAGTCATTTCACAATTTTTTAAAAAATATTAACATAGCAGCTAAGATGTCCAGGTCCTAAATTGGAGTGTCTGGATTTGATTCCTGATCCTGACTCATAACTCCTGATGTAGACCCTGGGAGGAAGGAGGGATAACTCAAGTAATTTGGCTTCTGCAACCCTTGTTACCAAGGTTGAATTCCTGGCTCTCAGCTCAGCTTGGCCATCACGAGCTTTTAGGAAGTAAACCAGCAAACATATATTTTTTTTTAATTTAAAACATTTCCGTGGTCATACAATGTATCCTAATGTAGATCCTAGTAGAAAATCTTCCTTCATTCTACACACATGTGTTGAAGATCTATCAGGCATTTTACTACTTGGTAAACATATGTATCCTAACAAGGCAGTCAGGGTTCTTAGCCTCAGGGAGTTTAGAGCTTATCAGGAAGAAGTGAACAAAAGTAAACTGGTGAAATGATTCAGTTACAAATGAAATAATTGGAAGTTGTGATAGAAACTATAAAATAGCACAAATAGAAAATAAAATAATTAAAATTATGTTAAGATATAAAATTATTAAGAAAAACTGTAAAAAAAAAGTGAACAATGGAAGGGGGCTACCTGTCCTATATATATAATCATTATATATAATAATCATGGAAGAATTATCTTTGAAGAAACTTGTACTCACCTGAGATATAAAAGCAGAATAGATAATCATACGAAGAAAGTTAGAAAGCACTCCAACTATAGGAAGTAGATAGATGTATTGCCTACTGAGTAAAGAGAAAACGGGTCAGGAGGATTGTATGAAGGAGTTGAAATTTCAGAAACAGTTAATATATTAAAAGAGATTTATCCTTAGAGAAAACTGAGGAGAATCATATGAAGTGGGTAGAATAAAAGGTTGGGAGGCAGTGTTTGAGATCAAGGCTGGTGACTTGCTGCTCTGATACTTTAGTATGCCTTCTCGCCTCCCCTGAACTAAAGAGATTATTTAATGCAGATTTGTTCATACCTTTCTTGTACTTAAAAGTGTTCCTCTAGATTTTTCAATGCCTAGGAATTACCTTCTGCCTTTCTTCTTGTGGCTTCTAAAGTTTTCCCTAAATTGTTCCTATTCTATAGCCAGTCTTTTCTTAACTATAATTTGGTTCTATTTGTTATATTTTGTGAAATTTTCCCAGCTGCCAACCAAAAGTGACATTACATTTTATAATTATTAGAAAAGCTTAGCTTGAAAAAAACTGGATCCGTTTTTGGTAGATTATGGACATAAGATGCTTCTACACCCTTTATAAATACTGTTGCCTTTCAGATGCTACCACTACTAAATCATGTTTTATTATTTATTTTAAACTAGGAAATTGGCTAAAGGTAAATGTATTCATTTCAAATATAACTGAATACATAAAATGCTTTTCTATCTGTTAAAATTATTCTTAGTTAATGTGATTTTGTTCCAAGGTGTTTCACTTTGTCTTGCAGGTTAATTAATCTATTTGTTTGCTCTGCGAGATGTTTTTTATTTTTATTTTTATTTTTGATACTTGATATATTAAATGCCTAGAAATGCTATGTAGTGCATTGTGATCCAGTTTTTTTTGTTTGGTTTGGCTTGGTTTTTGCCTTTTCTCAGTTGGGAGCTGAAAGTGCTGACAGCATAGGTGCTGTGCTAAACAGCAAAGATGAGCAGAGAGAAATTGCTGAAACAAGAGAAACTTGCAGGTCAAAGAATTTGTTTTGTTTTTGTTTTTTTCCTTTTTATTGGCATGTTAGTATTTTGAAAGGGTGGTTGTTTTAATGGTTTGGAGTGTGTGGATTTTATTGTCAATTTATGAAATATTTTCAAAAAATATAGTTCTCATTTACAGGTTAGAAAATGTCAGATGAAGAATTAGCTTATATATCAGAAATAGTTGCATATTTCTAAAATTTTTACAGAAGGAAATATATTTTACCTTGAAAATAGTATTTTTGATAGTTTAGAAAGTTATAGAATTTTTGAATACTGTAGTTATGAATTTGGATATTAATTTTGCTCAGCACAGATTAAAATTATATGTAATTATGTGCAGAAGCTTTTTGATGAGACATAATATAGAAATTTCTTTTTATAATATATCCTTCAAACAGCTTATTGTCTCATTCAGTTGCTTTTGTAAAAATAAAGCACAACATTACTAATTAATAAGGTTTATGACTTTGGATGATTTATAAACTGAGTAAATAGTTACTGGTTAATCAGGAAAAATTTTCCTTGTTCTGTTTTATAGCCTGTTATTTAATGTTATTATTATGTGCATTTATACATCTTGTATATATTTATGTGTGATGTGCATATTTTGTTGTTAGGGCTTCCTATGATACCTCTGCTCCAAATGCAAAACGTAAGTACTTGGATGAAGGGGAGACAGATGATGACAAAATGGAAGAATATAAGGCAAGTAGAAAACGGAATAATTTTATATAGTCAATAAAATAAATAAATCCTGTGTCCAGCATTAGCTTAGGATGCCTGCATTCCATATTGGAGTGCATGAGTTCCAATGCCCGTTCTGCTCTTGATTCCAGCTTCCTACAGATGTGTGCCCTGGGAGGCAATCATGATGTCTTAAGTAATTGGGTTCTTGCTACCTTGTGGAAGGCCTGGATTGAGTTCACAGCTTTTGGCTTCCTCTCTCCCCTGTTGTGGATATTTGGGGTGTGAACCAATGAATGGGAGCTTCCTCTCCCTCTCTCTTAAAAATAAGCTTATAACAAAAAAAATATTTTAGCAACTCATGGTATAGAACCATTTCTGAAAGAGCAAAGAAAACCCAACTTCTAAAATTATAGTTGCAATATTTATTTGATAAGAAAGTATTATATACTCAAAAACCCTACCTCCATTTTTTCAAGTTAATTGTTGTATATATTTAATAAAGAAGATAAAGCATAGTTTCCACAAGGCACTAGAAAGTTCAATGATGGAATTAATCTAGTGAATATTCTTATGTGTTGCACTTTGATGTATACTAATTTGTAACCTAAATATTTTTCTAAATATTTTGTTAGGTTTAACCCTGTATAATTGTGGATAATATTTTCAGCTTATAAAAGCAGTATTTTCAAATGGTTCAACCTAAAAGAAATAAAACAAGCCCCATTGGTGGTCATTTCTTTTGTGACTCAAGCTAAATTCTTACATGTAGTGTATTATAAATGAGATAAATGAGGCTAGATAATTCAGTATATAAAACATTAGTAGTTGCAGGTATCATTCATGATAATGATGAAATTTTTATTTTGTTGTAAAAAATCAGCCAGTCGAAGCCCGTTATAAGGAACGAAGACTCCAATGTTTGACTTTAATGCCAGTTTGAAAGATTACATCTTAGGGTAGGGAAAGAAAACATTTATGTTGAGTATTAATCAAGATATGATAGAGGAATGGCCCCTGAACATTAAATGTTTACATAATCTTTTTCAAGGATGAACTAGAAATGCAACAGGAGGAAGAAAATTTGCCATATGAAGAAGAGATTTACAAAGATTCTAGTACTTTTCTTAAGGTAAAATAATCTTCAAATCTTATAACTTCATATTTAAGGTCCATACTGCCTGAAAAGATTTTAAATACCTATTTGTCTTCAAGATCTTTTTTAATTATTGAGGCATCTTTCTAATAAAATAGATAGCATTTAAAATTATTCATGAGGGGCCAGCACTGTGTGTGGCATAGTAGGTTAATCCTCCACTTGTGGCACTGGCATCCCATATGGGCACTGGTTCTAGTCCCGGCTGCTCCTCTTTGGGTCCAGCTCTCTACTATGGCCTGGAAAGCAGTGGAAGATGGCCCAAGTGCTTGGGCCCCTGCACCTATATGGGAGACTGGAAGAAGCTTCTGGCTCCTGGCCTCGGATTGGCTCAGCTCCAGCCATTGTGACCATTTGGGGAGTGAATCAGCAGATGGAAGACCTTTTTCTCTGTCTCTCTCTTTCACTGTCTGTAACTCTGCCTCTCAAATGAATAAATAAAATCTTAAAAAAAATTTTTCATGAAAGATTGGTTTTACATTTAGCTATTTAGGGTGAGATAATAGTGTGTTCATGTTTTCAGTTTTTTTTTTAAATTTCTCTTTGTATTTCATATAATAAAAAACCAAGTACAAAGTTAATGTAATGGATTACATACTTTTAATTTAATTTTGACTTTTCCTTTAGGGAACACAGAGCTTAAACCCCCACAATGATTACTGCCAACATTTTGTAGACACTGGACATAGACCTCAAAATTTCATCAGGGATGTAGGTAGGTCACATGTCTTTGGAATATGCTGTTGCTAGCTCTGGATTATATTGAAGTAATTAATCCATTTTTTGTGTTATTTCTAACCAAGTTATTTTTCCTAGCTCGACTTCCTCTTTCTGTTCTCAGGGCTTCCATTGTATCTTCCTTTGCCATTAAGTCATGTTATTATTTTTTTCTTTGTGGGTTTTTTTTTTTTTTTTTTTTTGGCTCCAGTTTGGTTCTGTGCCTATTTTTGCATTTTATCATTTTATTGAGATAATTTATATATGATCCATCTAATCGATTTATAGACTATAGTTCACTGGGTTTTAGTATATCCACTTAGTTATGCAATCATTGCTACAAAAGATTTTAGAACATGTTCATCCCTATAAGGGATTCTTGTACCCATTAGTAGTTAGCTCTCATTTTTCCCTCTCTTCTCCCCCTACCCTTAAGTAACACTAATCTTCTTTCTGTCTACATATTGCCTTTTCTGGATATTTCATTTAATATAATATATGTTCTTTTTTGATGAGCTTCTTTCACTTAGCATAGTAGTTTCAAGTATCATTGAAGTAACAAGTATTCATACATAATTTCTTTTTACTGCCAGTGATATTCCTGTGAATGTGTGTATCACATTTTATTTATTCATTTGGGTGGTTTGCATTTTTTTCAATGTTATATACAATAATGTTATGAACATTTATGTAAAAGTTCTTATGTGGGTAGATGTTTTCATTTTTTCATTATATGATTAGGTGTAGAATTTCTGGTAATTCCCTGTTTAACTTTTTGAGAAACTACTGAACTGTTTTTCAAAGTAGTTGCATCATTTTACATCTCTACCAGCAATGCACAAGGTTTCCAGTTTCTTTACATCATGGACAATGTTATTGTCTGTAGTTTTGATGATAGCCACCCCAGTGGGTGTGAAGTGGTAGCCCATTGTGGGTTTAATTGGCATTTTCCTGCTGAGTAATGATGTCAAACAACTTTTCATAAGCTTGTTGACCATTTAAGTATATTTGGAGAAGTCTCCAGTTTGCTGCTTCAATTGAATTTTTGAAAAGTTATTGAATTGTCAGAGTTCACATAATCTGTGTGTGTTCTTTATATATTCTGGGTATAAGTGTCTGCAGTCTTTCCCTTATTCTGTGAGTTGTCTTTTCACTTTCTTGATGGTATGTTTTTCAATTTTGACGCAATCCAGTTTATTTTCTTTTATCACATTACTCTTGATGACAAAACTAATTTTAATGATTTTATAAACAAAATTTAGGTATAGCATAAAAAGTTATGGGAAATTGTACAGTCAAAATGGATATAAACGTTTTAGCTCTTAAGACACTTGCTTTACCATGGCAAAGAAAATGTGTGTAGAAACCATACCAGATTAAGAAAAAGTTGTAGAGCCGGCGCCGTGGCTCAATAGGCTAATCCTCCACCTTGCGGCGCCGGCACACCGGGTTCTAGTCCCGGTTGGGGCGCCGGATTCTGTCCCGGTTGCCCCTCTTCCAGGCCAGCTCTCTGCTATGGCCAGGGAGTGCAGTGGAGGATGGCCCAGGTGCTTGGGCCCTGCACCCCATGGGAGACCAGGAAAAGCACCTGGCTCCTGGCTCCTGCCAGGATCAGCGCGGTGCGCCGGCTGCAGCGGCGGCCATTGGAGGGTGAACCAGCGGCAAAGGAAGACCTTTCTCTCTCTCTGTCTCTCTCTCTCACTGTCCACTCTGCCTGTCAAAAAAAAATAAAATAAAATAAAATAAAATAAAAGAAAAGAAAAAGTTGTACTTTCTGATTTGTAGATAATGGAGAGCTAACTCTACTGTATTGAAACCTGACAGTAATAAAGTCTACAAATTTATTTTATTTAAAAGGTGGTCCACAAACATTCACTGAGAAAACATTTTTCTTTTTCATGTTGAAGTTATTAATAACTGTACTTTTGGCTTTTAAATTAAGAAGTTTTCATAATTTGTATCATTGTAAGTGTGCTTCCAGAGAGGGAAAACATGGAAAATAAAAGAAATACTTGCTTTCTCTGCTTTGAAAAACTTTCCAAATTTTAACATTTAAGAGAGGAGTGCTTTTAGGTAAAAGAAAAACCAAACATATAAGAAAGATAATTGTTTTTTCTTTTCCTGAAAATAGGATGAGTAAACTTGATGTAACAAGCAGACTGTTTATCTCAATAAATAGGAGAAATTGAATGATGTATGTTCTTGAACTAGGCTTTAGGTCATAGGATTTTTACCTGCATGTGGTCTTAGGATCATTAGGTATGAAATATGTGATGCATTGTTTAAAAATCCTAGATCTTAAATGTTTTAAAAAATGTTAGAGTGCTGTGTGGATTGGGTTGTTTTCTTGGGGGGCGGGGCACATAAACTTTGCATTCACTGATACTCACTTCAGTTGGAATGAAATTGAGAGTTTTACTGTTTTTTTCTCCTTAGGTTTAGCAGATAGATTTGAAGAATATCCTAAACTGAGAGAGCTTATCAGGCTAAAAGATGAGCTGATAGCTAAGTCTAACACTCCTCCCATGTAAGTGTTTTTAGTCATTTTTTAATTCCCAACTCAGGCTTAAAGTATTAGTTTATCTTTTTAAAAAATATTTAGTGCCTATGTGAAATTCACATAATCTGTTACTCTATCTCTTCTTTGTAGAAAAGTATATTAATTTGAAACTCTGGAGCTGAGTCTACAGTAGGTTGTCATATAACTTTTTGTGTTTGTGTGCATTCCAGATAATTCATTTCAAGTGCTGCTAAATATTTTTTCTTCTTAGAAAATCATTCAGTTAATTTTATTCTTGATGTTCCTGACAGTTTCATTAAAATATCTTTCAGTAACTTTTTTTACACAAAGTAATTTATTGAAGAAAGTTTTTAAAATTTAGATGAAGGAAAAGAAGAAAACAAAAATTAATTGTAACTTAGCATCCTGAGATACTGTTCTTAACAGTTTAGAATATAATTCATTTTAACCTTTGCTAAATGGTATGTTTTCCTTAGAAATGTGTGTAAAGTCTTTAAAATTGTAGAATATTCCCATTTACGTTGTTTCGCATGTTTTGTATATTTAATAAAATATGACCTGTGAGTTATTAGAAGAACATCAAAGAAATCTCAGTATGTGGGAAAGTCTACATACACCATAATATTCAGCATATTTAAAAATACTCTTGGGGCAGGTGTTTGGCCTCATCATTAAGCAGCCAGTTATGATGCCATGTCTCACATCAGAGTTTCTGGGTTCAAGTCCCAGTTCTAGCTCCTGATTCCAGCTTCCTGCTAATGCACTCTGGGAAACAGTAGGTGATAAACTCAAGTAGTTGAGTCTCTGCCACCCAGGTGGGAGACCTCGATTTAGTTCCTAGCTCCCACTTCGCCCAAGCCTAGTCCCAGCTTCTGCAGACATTTAGGGTATGAATCAACCTCTCAAATTAAAATACTTTCATGGTATGTAAAAATAACTCTTCAGTAGAGGTTGGTAATCTGCAAAGACTATTAATACAAATATTTTTATTCATGAGAAAAACTAGCCAAAGAAAATGTCCAGGGGCCAGCACTGTGGCATAGTGTCGCCGCCTGCAGTGCCAACATCCCATATGGGCACTGGTTCGAGTCCCAGCTACTCCACATCCGATCCGGCTATCTGCTGTGTCCTGAAAAAGCAGTAGAAGATGGCCCAAGTCCTTGCGCCCCCACACCCATGTGGGAGATCCTGAAGAGGCTCTTGGCTTCTGGCTTCAGATCAGCCCAGCTCCAGCCATTGCAGCCATTTGGGGAATGAACCAGCAGATGGAAGACTCCTCTCTGTTTGCCTCTCTGTATCTCTGGGTTTCAAATGAATATATAAATCCTTTTAAAAAAAGAAAATGTCCATATTTAGAAATTAGTTTTTAGAAGGAAGAATTTGAAACTTAGAAATAGTCTTCATATCCTAACTGAACAATTGAGAAGAAAAGTAATATAATATCCCTTAGAAAATTCAGATAACGATAAAAGAGGGTTCATAGATTCACATTTGAGTATGGATTTTCAGTGTTAAAACAAGAGGATATCCATGGGGAATAAGTTGATTTTTATTTTGTAGTGTAATTAAGTCCACGTCTTAAGAAAGAGCTTGGTAGATTAATGTCTTTACTGAAGAACGAAGACCTCCATGAAAAGATACTTAGTAATTAACTTGTGATTGTTTATAAAATCGCATTTAAAAATCTGATTTTTGCATTTTAATCAAATAGGTACTTACAAGCAGATATAGAAGCATTTGACATCAGAGAACTAACACCCAAGTTTGACGTGATTCTTCTGGAGCCCCCTTTAGAAGAGTATTACAGAGAGACTGGTATCACTGCTAATGAAAAATGCTGGACTTGGGATGATGTATGATGACACTTTTTACATTGTGATTAATTTGTTTTTCAAATAAATACACTTGCTTAATCAGAAAGTGAGTTCAAAATATCTCTACTACTGTGGGGATTATAAATATAGATTTATAGTATTTATTGTAGCTGAAGGCCCAAAGGACATTGAAAAATATTATCTTTAATTTGATTCCTCTCCTTGAGGTAAAAATAGAGTAGATGGTAAGTAGGCTATCAAAGACTCAGAATACCTTCTTACCGTCCTTAGGTATATAGCTAGAAAGGCCTAAAAGCAGAGAGAATGACTAATAATTTATTCTGCATTTGATTAGTTTTAGTAAACATCTGAATGTGTGTTTGTCATATAAGCACATACGGACATAAACCATGATTTTTTTTTAAGGAACTTAACAGTATACATAAAAAGAGTATGCATGCATACTATCATTATAATAAAACTGTGATAAAGTTATATTTTCCTAAATAAAATATTTTAAAATGTAAAGAAATAAATAAATTGATGACTTCAGTTAGTTACGTAAATGTTTGTTTTTACTGACCAATACCAAAAATAAGAAATACTTATCAAGTACCACTTGTACTAGGTACTGGATATTCAAAGATGAGTAAGACTTAGTACTTTACCATGAATAGCATAGAGTTTAATGGAATGAACATTGACCTAAACCAATAATTATCTTTTAACTTTGTTGGTTCCATAATGGAGAACTGTATAACATGATATGAGGGTAACTGACCAAGCGTATGAAGATGGGACATTTGAACATAGAGGATTTGACACCTAAACCGTAAAAGAAATTTTGGAATTTGCCAGGGGGAAGAAAAATGTGGGATAGGGATTCCAAGCAGAAGGGATAGCAAATAAATGGTGTAGACCCAAAACATGATGTCTGGTCTGGGAGGGAGACTGATCCTGAAACATGGACTTGGATTATTTTCAGTTTCTGTTTTAAGATCTTGGGCCTTATTCTGAACACATTAAGATATCTTAATGAAAGATGTCTTTGAAAACCTTTGAGAGGTTTTAACTATTTTTTGGTAAAATGGTTAGATTGATGTGTGGAGGCTGGACTAGAATGTAGGAAGTCTGGTAAGGGAGGAGCAGTTAGAAATCTTTTCCAATAGCCTGGTTCTGAGATGAAGGGACCCTGAATTAAGATATATAGTAGTAAGATTAGAAAGAAGGTGATAAATTCAATAATGTTTGTGAGAAAGATTTGGTGATTGGATGAGGAAGAGTCCAGAATAACTCAAGGTTTTTGTCTTGGGATAATTGGGTCATTACCAAATGAGAGAAAATGTGAATTGAAGAGGAGCAGAGTTAGAGGGGTTAGATAATATTGAATGTGTTTGTTTTTATGTATATGTGAGCCATTCAAGTAGAAGAGGGAAGAGGAACATAAATTCAAAGGACATACAGAACTGGTCTCAAATAAGAGGTTTTAGAAAATTAGCATAAGGGCCAGCGTTGTGGTGTATTAGGTTAAGCCCTGTGCATGATGCCAAAGTCCCATATGGGGCCAGCTGCTCTATTTCTGATCCAGCTCCCTGATAATGCACCTAGGAAAGCAGCAGAAGTTGGCTCAGGTGCTTTTGCCCCTGCACCCACATGGGAGACCTGGAAGAAGCTCCAGGCTCCTGGTTCTGGCATGGCCCAGCCCCAGCCATTGCATCCATTTGGGAAGTCAGCAGATGAAAGATTGTGTGTGTGTGTGTGTGTGTGTGTGTGTAACTGCCTTTCAAGTAAGTAAAGAAAATCTTGGGGCCAGTGCCATGACACAGTGGGTTAAGCTATCATCTGCAGTTCTAGCATCCCATATGGCACTGGTTCTAGTCCTGGCTGCTCCACTTCTTATCCAGCTCCCTTCTAATGTGCCTGGGAAAACTGCGGAGGACGGTCCAAAGTCCTTGGGCCCCTGCACCCATGTAGAGGCCTGGAGGAAGCTCCTGCCTCCTGGCTTTGGCCTGGCCCAGACCCAGCTATTGCTGCCATTTGGGGAGTGACCCAGCAGATGGAAGATCTCTGTCTCTCCTCTCTTGCTCTCTAATTCTGACTTTCAAATAAATAAATAAATAAAATTATTTATAAATCTTTATTAATCTAAAAAGTGATAAATCTTAAAGAAAAAAAAGAAACTTAGCTTATTAAACCCATGCAAGTAGATGAGTTTGAGGGTAGTGTCACAGGTAAGGTAAAATGTGGATTGACGGTAAAGCCTGAAGGGGATATTTGCATTATAGGGGCATGTGTAAAAGAAATATGAAGAAGAATCGGTCAGAGATTAAAGAGGAGAATGAGGACAATATGAATGTTTTAAAACCACAGAAAGAGTATTTCAATGAGTAAAATCAAGGAGTATCCCGTGTAGGAGAGAGGTAGGGTGAGGAAAGGACTGCTGTGTCAGGAGAAACTGCTCACAGTCCTGTGTGTCCCTTTCTGAGTTCATTGTAGTTACTTTTAAAACTATTTCTCAAGATTTGCCTCCAGTTCTTTTCAATGTTTTTGCCTGTGAGCTTTAGTATCTTGGTACTTTATACTTTTATGGCTCTTACCACATTAAAACAGTTTCTTCTTTGCTGATTATAAGTGCAATCTGTGCTTATTGTTGAAAAATCAGAAATTACACAGTGTGGGAATCCCAGGTCTTAATATTCTTGATGTTTGTTGATGAGAATTTTTTCAGATAGATTATACAAATTTACATTCCTTCCAGTACTGTTTAAAGAATTTCTGGTTCACTATATCCTCATCAAATTTGAGTATTAATATTAAGAATGTCTTTGTCAATTTGGTTAAAAGAAAAGAAAATTTAAGCAATGAATATTATTATGTCTTTGATTAGTAGTTCTGCTAAACTTTATTTTCTCTCGCTGTTCCGTGAGGTTTGATCAGTAAAGACACAAGAGCTTCAATTGTGGTAAACAGAGTTTATAACTTCTGGTTTTTTAAAAGACTTTTTTTTTTTTTTTAATTTCTTTGAACATCAGAGTTACAGAGAGAGAAGGAAAGAGAGAACTCACATCTGCTGGTTCACTCCCCAGATGGCTGCAATGGCCAGTGGTGTCAGGCAAAAGCCAGGAGCTAAGAGCTTCATCCCATTCGCCCATGTGGGTACAGGGGCCCGAGGAAGTGGGCCATCCTCCACTGCTTTCCTAGGCACATTAGCAGGGAGCTAGATTGGAAGTGGAGCAGCCAGGTCTCAAACCAGTACCCTTGTGGGATGCTAGTGTCATAGACAGAGGCTTAACATCTGCTATACCACAATGCTGGCCCCTATGTATAATTCTTGATTTTAGTTTAATTTCACTGAATTTAAACTCTGGCTGGCATATTAAAAAGTTTTATCTGACCCTAGAGCCCTAAACTCTCTTAACCTTTATGTGCTATTCTAAAGAAAAGTGCCAGTAGCTAATATAATAAATACAATGTAAACAGAAAAAGCATAGGATATCACAAGTACTCTTTCAAATTTCCATCATTAGTGGTCAATGTTAAGAGTGTAAGCATTTATTTAAATTTTTCTTTCTTTTTTATTTGAAAAGCATTTAAAGTAAGAACAGTTACTATAAAGGAGAATAATTTGCTCAATGTTCTTTTCTGCTGTACATCATCATCACTTATCTTTTGCTATTACCACATGTAAACTTGTAGGATTGTGTGTGTTTGGGGGGGCTTCCATATACATTCATATTGTGACTAAAAAAATTTGTTACTGTGTTATGAGACTACTACATAAAGAGAGATTTCTGGACTTAAGAAAAAGTGTAAATAGGTTTATGCATGTAAACTTATTTCCATTACTACTAACAAGTACATAATTTTTTAAAATCTGTTTAAGTTAGAAATGCTGTGGTTTTAGCCAGCGCCGCGGCTCAATAGGCTAATCCTCCACCTAGCGGCGCCAGTACACCAGGTTCTAGTCCCAGTCGGGGCGCTGGATTCTGTCCCGGTTGCCCCTCTTCCAGGCCAGCTCTCTGCTGTGGCCAGGGAATGCAGTGGAGGATGGCCCAAGTACTTGGGCCCTGCACCCCATGGGAGACCAGGATAAGCACCTGGCTCCTGGCTTCGGATCAGCGCAGTGCAGCGGCCATTGGAGGGTGAACCAACGGCAAAGGAAGACCTTTCTCTCTGTCTCTCTTTCTCTCTCACTGTCCACTGTGCCTGTAAAAAAAAAAAAAAAAAAAGGAAAGCAATGCTGTGGTTTTAATTCAAATAGAAGTCAAGATTTTCTTCATTATTTAAACTAACAGATTTTTGACTGAACCATGTGATGATTTCTGAAAATTCTTAACTTTAAGGGGTTGGAGTGAAGAATGTCATATACATTGGTTACTTTTATAGTCATTTATATGAGAATATAGGATTCCCAAAACCTAGACATTGAATTATTGAAGAACAATTTTTTTAATGTGACATGCTCAGTATATACAAGGCAAACAATTTTTTTTTCACTTAAGACTTAATGTCATTAGATAATAAGCTCCTTCTTCTTTTTTTTTTTTTCCTCATTCACGACAGGCAGAGTGGACAGTGAGAGAGAGAGACAGAGAGAAAGGTCTTCCTTTGCCGTTGGTTCACCCTCCAATGGCCGCCGCGGCCGGCGCGCTGCGGCCGGCGCATCGCGCTGATCCGATGGCAGGAGCCAGGAGCCAGGTGCTTTTCCTGGTCTCCCATGGGGTGCAGGGCCCAAGCACCTGGGCCATCCTCCACTGCACTCCCTGGCCACAGCAGAGGGCTGGCCTGGAAGAGGGGCAACCGGGACAGAATCCGGCGCCCCGACCGGGACTAGAACCCGGTGTGCCGGCGCCGCTAGGCAGAGGATTAGCCTAGTGAGCCGCGGCGCCGGCCGATAATAAGCTCTTCTTTAAATATTGGAAATCAGAGTCCTCACTAAGCATTTGTTGTCATGTTTTAATTTTGCCCCTAACTTTGGACTCATCTAACCTCTTTCCATTTCAGTTTCTTTCTCCATAAATGATAGTGTTGCTATAGAATATCTCTCAAGCTCCACCTTATAATATTCTGTAGATAGTTTTCTATAAGTTCTTTCCATATAAAAGCAACTGTTTATGTAAATGTATGTATATTTACTTATGTATGTTGCTTGTATATATTAAGGAATAAAATAGTAGTATAAAAGTAATTTAAAGGATGAAGTATGTTTTCTATTGTATTTTCTATTGGAAATTAGTACATTTAAAGAACATATTACTCAGAATCTTAATAAGTCTTGATGGTTGTTTTGGATTTAGGATGAATTGAAAACAAAATGCTTTTATGTGATAATATTGTTTTGGTTTCTTCTAGATTATGAAGTTAGAAATTGATGAAATTGCAGCCCCCCGATCATTTATATTTCTTTGGTGTGGTTCTGGGGAAGGATTGGACCTTGGGAGAGTGGTAAGATGTTGTCTTTTTTTTTTTTTTTTTTGCCCCCAAAGAAACCTTTTATTTAAGGAATACAAACTTCATGCATTTTATAAGTACAACTTTAGGAACATAGTGAAGATGGTGTCTTTTTAAAGATTAAGAAAAAATAATAATACGTTGCATAGTAAATGTTAAGGTTAATGTTGTTTTATCCTTTGTTGCTTGAATAGTTCTAAAATAGTCAAAAGAAAAAAATGTTTAGAAAAAGAAGATTTAAAAAGGCAGTTACCTTAAATCAATTAAGGTAAGCATTTAAAAATGTATCTAGCCCTTTAAAAATAAAATTTATTGCAACTGAGAAAAGAACAATTTTCAAGATTTGAAGCTCCACATTTTAGCACAGTAATGAGCTGCTTCATGTCATTTGTTGTTCTTTATTAGTAGCTGTACAATGTTATTCTGGATAGTATTGACACCTGAATTCCAAATGGAAGCTAGAATTCAAATTGGAAAACAGCAAATATAACACATAGTTTGAAAAAATCAATGAGCATGAGAAAGAAGTCATAATACTTCTATTTTAAAGATGTTTAGTTGTGTTTCAATGCTCTGCTTTGTTTTATTTCTTCCTTTTTTATTGATTGGAGTATTTTGCCAAAAGGAAACAAATTAATGTTTTAACCAAAGTGTAAGGGGAGCTTTCTGCTTAGATGTTAGCAGTCTTCAGTTTTGGTTTCAATTCAGTTGGTATCAAACACTGAGACTTTTGGACATACTTTGTAGGTTTCAAGTTCTTTGATGTCTTATTGGATGATAGTTTCCAATTTTAGAACATATTACCTGTTAAATAGCAAATGATCTCATTTAGTCATGGTAATTTAGGGAGCCATCCATTTGACAGGTGAAGAATTTAACATTGTATTTGATAACAAGTAGAATTGTAGTGAGATAAATTTGTGCTCAAATTCTGAAATTCTACAATTAGTTGATATTCTTTATATAAATAATGAGTTTGGGGCTTTTAGGTGGCATCATTGCTTGTCATTTATTAACTCCAAGGTAAGAATATAACTATATGGCAATTGGGTATCACCATTTTGTTTGGGGTAACTCAAGATGCTTTGGAAAAACAAGGAAGTAGAAAGAAATGCAGGTTTTAATAGGTATATTGGTATTATCCTTTTTAGCTCTAATGTCTGACTTTGGTCTTTTGGTCTTTTGTCTCATCACCACCCTCACCGAAATTAGGTTGAAAATGATTACAAGGTTTTGCCTTTTTTTTTTTTTTTTAAGATTTTATTTATCTATTTGAGAGGTGGAGTTACAGACAGTGAGAGGCAGAGGCAGAGAGAGAGAGGTCTTCTGTCTACTGGTTCACTCTCCAAATGGCTACAACAGCCGGAGCTGGACCAGTCCGAAGCCAGGAGCCAGGAGCCTCCTCTGGGTCCCCAACATGGTGCAATGGCTCAAGGGCTTGGGCCATCTTCCACTGCTTTCCCAGCCATAGCAGAGAGCTGGATCGGAAGAGGAGCAGGTGAGACCAAAACCAGTGTCCATGTCGGATGCTGTCAGTGCAAGTGGAGGATTAACCTACTGCACCATAGGGCCAGCCTCAGGAGGTTTTATCTTAATTGCTTTTGCAGCGGTGTACCATATTAGTGACTGCAGAGTTTAACCAAAATGATTACAAAATGAATGTTCCACAAGAAATATTCATGAACTTTTGGTAAATTAATAGATTAAGGCATGTAGTATTTAGGCCATTATGATATGAATACACACCCAATGCAAAATTAAGTGCTTAGCAACATAAACAGATAGAAGTTTCTCCTTATTCAAGATTTCACTTTTTGTGGTTTCAGTTTTCTTAGGTCAACTTTGGTTTGAAAATATTAAATGGAAAATCTGCTAAATAAACAGTTGCTGAGTTTAGACTGCACACCATTGTGAGCAGTCTGATGAAATCTCATGCTTCCCATTTAGTTCTGCTCTAGATGTGAGTCATTTCTTTGGATGTGAATCTTCTCTGTGAAATATGCATGCTGTATATTTTACCTGCCATTTTGCTAGTTGGTATCTATCTAAGTATTAGATCAACTGTTGTACATGTATGTGGTAGCGAACTGCAAGGGAAAACACAACCACATAACTTTTATTACAGCATATTGTTCTACTGTTGTTGTTAATTTTGTAATCTAATTAACTGTTAGACCTTATCATAGGTGTATATGTATATGAAAAGATCTGATGTCTTTAGGTTCAAAACTATCTGCAGTTTCAGTCATTGACCATGGGGCTTAGAACACATCCTCACAAATAAAGGGGAGACTATGGGGCCTTTGAAGTTTTAAAATAAAAATCTAACTTTGATTTTGAAGTATATCTTACTTTATACACTAAGAGCATTCCTGAAAAAGGTATGTGTCTTACACTCCACTATATCTTTATGTGTACTTGATCATAGTACCAACAGAATTGTACTGCATAACTTACTTTTTCTCTACTTAACTCTTAGGTTTACTACTTTACTCTTAGGTAGGGACTATATCTGTTTTTTTCCCCCAGCGGCTAGCTAGCATCTATATATACATAGTAGGTCCTCAAAATGGCACTCTGTCTATGGTTTATCTGGTATTTGTTATAACTTCATAGATAACAGATTCTCTGTTTTCAAAATTATATAAAGATTCAAGTATAGTTTTACCCAATAAAGAGATGTACATAACCATTTTAAGTGTGAGCTTTTTGTTTTTGTGAATTCTAAATATAGAAACAAAGTTTTATAGACTTCTCATTTGGAAAGAAGTTATCGGGAATTTTCAAAACAGTGTTTAGTTTTTTCAAAATAAGAAATTGAAGTGGCAGGAAACAAATTCTCTCTTGCATTATTTTGTGATTACAGAGGACCTCAGTGTTTTATAATTTAAAACCTAGTATCTGTTAGGCTGGCACCGCGGCTCAATAGGCTAATCCTCTGCCTGTGGTGCCCACACCCTGGGTTTTAGTCCCAGTTGCCCCTCTTCCAGTCCAGCTGGACTATGCAAGAGGCCGGCGCCGCGGCTCAATAGGCTAATCCTCTGCCTGCGGCACTGGCAAACCAGGTTCTAGTCCCGGTCGGGGTGCCGGATTCTGTCCCGGTTGCCCCTCTTCCAGGCCAGCTGTCTGCTGTGGCCTGGGAGTGCAGTGGAGGATGGCCCAAGTGCTTGGGTCCTGCACCCGCATGGGAGACCAGGAGAAGCACCTGGCTCCTGCTTTCGGATCAGCGCGGTGCGTTGGCCGCAGCGCGCCGGCCATTGGAGGGTGAACCAACGGCAGAGGAAGACCTTTCTCTCTGTCTCTCACTGTCCACTTGTCTGTCAAAAAAAAAAAAAAAAAAAAAAACCTGCAAGGATTTTAAAATGTTTTTGCACCAAAATAAACTGATCATTTAATTCTAATTTTCCACAGACATTTTCAAGTACTCACATGAATATATTCTATATTATGGCTGTATACATATTTATTTTTTAAAGATTATTTATTTAATTTTTTTTATTTGGAAGGCAGAGTGACAGGGGGAGATAAGAGAAAGGGATCTTCTGTTCTCTGGTTCACTACCCAAATGCCTGGAAAACCAGGTCTGGGTCAGTCTGAAGCCAAAAAAACCAAGAACCCTATCTGGGACTACCAAGTAGGGTGTCAGGAATACAAACATTTAGGTCATAATTTGCCAGCTACCAGATGTGTTAGCAGGATGCTGAATCCGAAGCAGAGTTGGGACTCAAACCTGTGTACTCCAACAAGGGATAAAATTGTACAAAGTGGTAGCTTAACCTGCTGCACACCAGTGTCTGCTTCAGGCTATTTGGAGACTAGCATTTCTTATAGTTCTCCACTAGAACAAAACAAAAACCATTTTGACACTTGGGAATTTAGTGTCTCAAGAAAATTGTTTAATGCTGGTTGGTTATTTGAAGTATGGATTAAATGAAGCATTTCTTTTCGTTTATTTTTTATTTTTAGTGTTTACGCAAGTGGGGTTACAGAAGATGTGAAGATATTTGTTGGATTAAAACCAATAAAAACAATCCTGGCAAGACAAAGACTTTAGACCCAAAGGCTGTTTTTCAGAGAACAAAGGTATTGCCTTTTCTGTTTTGTTTTGTTTTTCTCATTATTTTCTTTCATACTTTTCCAAATTTCTGTATACTGTTCAGTTACTTTTGCTGGAAAAAAAGTCATTTTCTTCGGCTTGTAAAAGTAGCCTTGAGCAGTATAAGAATATATCCAAGTTGGTTTAAAATGTTTTATTCACTATCTTAGATCAGTCTCCACCACCATGCTGGAGAGGGAAATATATATGTTCCTGTATGTCTTACACTGCTGTATTTATGCATTACATGCGGGCTTTTAATGCTCCTCATACCCTGAATTTTTTTTTGTTTTGCTAGGTTCAGAAAGAAGAGATATCAGCAAAAGTTCATAGCTGGCCAGTTTACACTTGTTTCTTCTTCTGTTCTTTTTCCTACTGAAGAACTTCTGAGAACTTCTGCTTCATGTTGATTCTGCTTTGCTAGTATCAGTCTTTAACCGCCTTTGCTCTTTACTCTTTAGGGAGCCAGTGGTGGGATTTCTTACTTGTTCTTACTTGGGGTTGGAATTATAGCTATGTAACAAAGTTTCCAAAAGAACAGGGTTTGGAGAGCTTCTGGGTTGGTGAACCTATAGAGTTGCTGGGGGAACATGGTGCACCCAGAGAGAGGGCCTGGAAGCTCCACATCCCTTCTCCTGTACATTGCCCTAAGCATCTCTTCCATCTGGCTGTTCCTGAGTTACATCCTTATACAATAAACAGGTAATAGTAATTAAAGCACTTACTGAATTTCACAAGCCACTCCAGCAAGTGATTGAACCCGAGGAGGGGGTCTTTAGACACTCCAATCTGTAGCCTCTCAGTTATAAAAGCACACTGACAAGTCGTGATTGGTATCTGAAGTTGGGGGTCAGTCTTGTGGGACTAAGTCCTTAACCTGTGAGGTACACACTAGGTATAGATTGTGTCAGAATTGAACTGAATTATAGTGTCTGAGGAGAAGTGTAGTTACTTGGTGCGTGAAAACCCACACATCTGGTGTCAAAGAGCTGTCTTCTGAAAGTACTAAATGTAGAGTGAAAAACTGCTTTTCCTGTTTGCCTGACAGTCTTTCTACAACCATCCAGATGTTTCTAAAGTCTGTCCTCTTTTTGCCCACAGAACTATATCCCAAAGATTTGTAGAAATAAGGATTGTTTTGGAACTGAGGAAATCAGAAGTATAAATAAAATGTTATGAGGTAAGATTATTGATAAGAAAAAAAATTAATTGGTCTGTTCTTCTTATTTAGGAACACTGTCTTATGGGGATCAAAGGAACTGTGAAGCGTAGCACAGATGGGGACTTTATTCACGCTAATGTTGACATTGACTTAATTATCACAGAAGAACCTGAAATTGGCAATATAGAAAAACCTGTAGAAATTTTTCATATAATTGAGCATTTCTGTCTTGGTAGAAGACGCCTTCATCTGTTTGGAAGAGATAGTACAATTCGACCAGGTATGACCTCAATTTCAACAACAAAAACAACTTTGATTCTTTGAGATATGGTTATAAAGGAATCAGACACAGGGTGGTATAAAGTAAAATTCTTATGTATTTGAGTCATCTTCTTGCTGGACTTCAAATGTGAATAATGTTTGGTTCATACAAAAATTGAGAGGAAGTTCCTGAGATTTCCCATAAACTCTGTGCCCTAGACTCTCATCATCTCTGTTACCATTGCCACCCCCACCACAGTGATACGTTTGTTACAACTGGTAAGTCTACATTGACGAGTCATCACCCTGGTCTGTAGTTTACATTAAGGTTCACTCTTGGTAGTCTGTGTTCTGGGGGATTAGACAAATGTGTGAGGACATGCATCCCCCATTGTTGGATCACACAGTATGGTTTCACTGCCCTAAAAATCCTGTGTGCTCCACTTATCCATTTGCCCACCCCTCAAATCCCTGGCAGTCTTTTTATTGTGATTCTGTCTTTTGTTCTTGTTCCTGTGTTGTTAAAATTGTCTATATAGTATGTGACCTTTTCAGATCAGCTTCTTTCATTTAGTAATAGGCATTTAAGGTTCTCCCCTGCCTTTCCATGGCTTGAGAGCTCACTTTTGAATCGTATCCTACTGTCTAGTTGTACCCACTTTATCCGTTTACTTACTGAAGGACACCTCGGTTGCTCTGAGGTTTTAGCAAGTAAGAATAAAACTGCCATAAATGCCCGTGTACAGGTTTTGGTGTGGATGTAAGTTTTCAGCTCCTTTAGGTAAAAACCAAAGAGAATGATGGCTGGATTATATGGTAAGAATATGTTTAATTTTGAAAGAAACTGCCAAATCCTATCTCCTAAAGTAGTTGCACCATTTTGTTCCACATTCTCACCAGCATTTGGTGTCAGTGAGGCAAATACACCCTGAAGCCTGGCTGTTTTAAGCTTGCTCAGTGCTTGGTAATACCTTTAGAACACAAGGTTACAGTGAAGAATTTTGGGGAGAAAGAAATCCCTTGGGCTTATATAACGAGTTTACTTTGCAAAGATTCACAAAGAGGTAGTGTGGCAGGAGAGAGGCAGTATTAGTTCTTTTTAAGTTTTCTGTTCTCTTGTTTGTGGTATTGCAGCACTACCATAGATATCCTGAAACAAAAAACTAAAAGGAAGCAAATAAAACTCTAACAGGGTTGAGCATTTGGCCTAGTGGTAAAGCTGCCAGTTGTGACGCCTACATCCCTTATAGGTGCCTTTGAGTTCCTGCTCTGCTCCTAATTCTAGCTTCCTGCTAATGTGCGCCCTGGGAGGAGGCAGATGATGGCTCAAGCAGGTGGAAGACCTGGATTGAGTTCCTGACTTCCAATTTAGCAACAGGCTTGGGAGGACATTTGGGAAGGAAACCAGCAAATGACAGCTCTCTATCTAGCATGTGCTCTTTCTGCCTCTCAAGTAAAGCGTGTAGATAAACTTTCTAAAATATCTCATAGTTTCTGTAGTCAGTGAGACAATATAGGTGAGGAATGTGCTTCTCGATCTAATGTGTCTTCTCTACTTCTCTGGTGTCTCCTGGGTGCCACATAAAAGGCACAGTGTGATTTTCCTGATATTCTTGCAGATATTATAAATCTTATTAAGTCATTCTTAGGTACTAAGTTATTTTTTAAACAATGGAAAAATATTTTACAAAAGTGGCTATAATATTTTAGAATATTTATAATATTCTATATCTGTAATTTTTAATAAAATATATTATAAAATTTTATGTATTTATAAAATATTTAAAAGATATTTTATAAAATATAATATTTTAGAATACGAGCTTAGAAAAATATTTTTCATTTTAGAGCATTTTATGGGAGGTCTTATTTTAAGAAATAATATTGGGGCCGGCGCTGTAGCGTAGTGGGTAAAGCCACCACCTGCAGTGCCGGCATCCCATATGAGCGCCAGTTCAAGTCCCAGCTGCTTCACTTCTGATCCAGCTCTCTGCTATGGCCTGGGAAAGCAGTAGAAGATGGCCCAAGTCTTTGGGCCCCTGTACCCATGTGGGAGACTGGGAAGAAGCTCCTGGCTTCTGTTCTGGCTCCTGGCTTCGGATTGGCACAGCTCTGGCTGTTTCAGACATCTGGGGAGTGAACCAGCGGATGGGAAGCCTGCCTCTCTCTCTCTCTTTCTCTTATCTCTCTCTCTCTCTCTATAACCTTGCCTTTCAAATAAATAATTTAAAAAAATCAAGATAATGGTACAGAGATATGAACCTAATTTTACAGATAAATAACATGATTCCTAAAAGATTATTTGTTCTGTCCCAGTGGATCTCATGTCTCTTATAACACTCATAAAGCATATTTCCAGGATTTTCCTAAAGGTCATGCTAGTTACAAGAATCACCACTCCAAAGGAACTCCCAGAGTATAGGCATTGGTAGTTATTTCTCAGCCCTTCTCCTTCCAGATATAATGTAATCAATTAGCAATGTAGCTTACAAATAAAAAAACCTTTTTACCTACAATGTCTAATGGAAATTCTGAAGAAAGAGATGTAATTTTATGTAAGCAATATATTTGAATTGGATGTTGCATGGTGAGGTTTTCGGCTGATTGACAAAATAATGTGAGCACAAAAGTGGTTTGTATGGAAGTAGTCATCGTAGTAGTTTATTGTTTGCTTAAAAAAAAGATGTTAGTTAAAAAATAGTTGATGAAAAGCATTGATGACAAAAGTGATTGGAAAGTTCATTATAAAAGATTTTTTGGCTTTATGAAAAGGATTAGAATATTTTTGAACAGAGAAGTGACACGTTTTAAGCTTTCATTTTTCAGTTTTAGAGAGGAGAAACCATAAGCTGAGAGATGATTACATATATGTGTATGTCTGTTCCATGTGTGTGGCATGGTGGAGAGCTGTCGTTGTAGAAACAAAGGCTTAAAGAAGAGTATGGGAGGAAAAATGGAAAAGTGGGAGTAAGTAGGAACAATATGGTGGTGATTGAATTTCTAGGACCTGTCAACTCAGAACATTTTGTGGTTGGAAAGAACAGAAGTTGGTTCAGGATTTTAATCAGATAACAATGGTACTATTTTTATGAATAGGAAAGTTGTAATTAATTTTTTTTAAAGATTTATTTATTTATTTGAAAGAGATACAGAGAGGCAGAGGTAGAAGCAGGATCATTTCCTAAATGGCTGTTACAGCCGGCGTTGGGCCAATCAGGAGCCAGGAGCCAGGAGCTTCTTCCAGGTCTCCCATGCAAGTGCAGAGGCCCAAGGATTTGGGCCATCTGCTGCTGCTTTCCCAGGCCATAGCAGAGAGCGGGAGCGGAAGTAGAGCTGCCGGAACTCAAACCAATGCTCATATGAGATGCTGGCATGGCGGGTGGCAGCTGTACCCACTATGCCACAGCACCATCCCCTAATTTATTACATTTTTCACTGAGCCCAAACTTAGTGTAATGTGTAACATTTTTTTCTAAGGGCTATTCACAGAATGTAGAGACATAGATGGAGACAATGAGGAAGATATATTGTAAAAATTACAGTCTACAGGGAGAATCAAGATTATAAATAGGAAGTTTTCAAAATATGACCCATGATAAAGTGCTGTTCATTCTTTAAGAGATCACTATTGGGTTGGTGATAGGAACATCTTTAAAAGAATGCATTGGGGATTTGAACTAGCCCCTAAAGAATCAATAAGAGAAGAGAGGGTTGCAAATAAAAAGGATAATATTTTTCTCCTCCATTTCAGGCTGGCTCACAGTTGGACCAACACTTACAAATAGCAACTACAATGCAGAGACCTATGCCTCCTATTTCAGCGCTCCAAATTCCTACCTGACTGGATGTACAGAGGAAATTGAGAGACTGCGACCAAAATCACCACCTCCCAAATCTAAATCTGATAGGGGAGGTGGAGCTCCCAGAGGTGGAGGAAGGGGTGGAACTTCTGCTGGCCGCGGGAGAGAAAGAAATCGATCCAACTTCCGAGGCGAGCGAGGTGGCTTTAGAGGGGGCCGTGGAGGGGCGCATAGAGGTGGCTTTCCACCTCGGTAACTTTGGAAGACACTGATTCTGTTAAAGCCCTCCTACCCTTCATTATCGTTTGAATTTCTGTTGGCAGACTTACTTCAGAACTCAATTCCAGCTCACATTTTGCTTTAGTTTCTCTGAACTGCCAGGAATATCTTCGTCAACCTCCATTGGAGTTGTCACACACACTCTCTGGATTTGTGCAGGACAGTAAGTGATTCTGCCTCTTGTCATGTGCAGGTCATGGAACAGAGTACAAGTCTCTGTCATCAGAGAGAGACTATATTCTGTTGGATTCCCGCTAACTATAAGGACTTTGCTTTTTTGAAGCAGGTGATCAATGAAAAAAATTCAGTGTATGCTATCATACTGATGCTGACAGGAGTTGATAATGACAGGAGCCTTGACAGAATGAAGTTGGGATAGGTGATAAGCTTTTGTCAGGGCTTTGATATTTTCTTGATGAAAATGTGGAGATAGACTTTTTTTCTTTCTTTTTTAAATCGTAAGTGAACTCAAATACAATTTGACCACTGAAGAAATTGACTTTGAAGAAAATCACCCCACAAATCTAAATCTGATGAGAGATAGAGCTCTCAGTCCTCAGCAAAGTTAGAGCTTAGTTGGCAAACTTAAAAAAAAAAAAATTAAATTAAAAAGCTCATAATCTGAATTGTGTAGCTACCTATGACTGATAATCAAACTTCTTAAGAAGCAAACAAGGACAAATACCCAAGTGCTAGGACTCTGTTGTAGACTTGAACTTGGATTGACCATCAAAGCAATTTCATATTCCTTAGCAAAATATAAGTATCAGAAGCAACAACAGAGACTTGATTATCAGGTGCTTAGTTGAAACATTTCGAGAAATAAAGTTATGTACATGATGAGGAACTACATACATCTTTAAACTTGTTTTGGAGAAAATTTGATATGCAAGCAATGACAGAAAACCCTGAACTTAGAGTACAGCTTGGAAAATTGAATTCCACTTGCCATTTACTAAAACCATATGGCATATTCTTTGTTTTTAAGGGGTCAGTTGTGCAGATCTAATTGTGTAAGACTTTATGCTGTCATTTCTCTTTATATTGTAACTCATGTTTTAAATGAATTTGCTGAATGAAATAATACCATTACTGTTCTTGATAAATACATTTTTTATTTTATTATGATTTTTCTAATGAAAATTTAAATATCTTAACTAGTTGAGAGTCTGTTTTCTATAAGTGGAATTAACGTCGTTCCAAATGAAATCAAACTAAAAGCAAACTCATCTTTTGGTCTGTGATGGATTACAGTGGCAACTCATTTCTTGTAACTAAAATGAAGTTATATTATATCCAGTCAATGTTACCAGATGACTGAACAATATAGGGTTGAGACCTTAAAAGCCTGATTTTTTTTTTCTATTTATTTGAAAGGCAGAGTTACATAGAGAGAGGGAAAGAAAGATTTTCCATCTACTGGTTTGATACCCAAACGGCCACAACAGGTGGACCAGGCTGGAGTTAGGAACCTCATCCAGGTCTCTGACATGGGTGGCAGGGGCCCAAGTACTGCTTTCCCAGGTGTATTAGTGGGGAGTTGGATTGGAAGTTGTGGGGAGCAACTGGGAGCAACTTGGACTAGACTAAGTTACTGGAATTAAGACTTATTCTATGCATCTGCTCTCCCACAATATGGCACTGAGAAGGGAGAAACAGCTTCTACACAGCTGCCTCCAGTTCAACCAATAAACTGTAGGACCTGCTCCTGATTGGAGGAGAGCAGCGTACTTGGCGTGTGGGTAGCAGAGTTGGGATTGGAGGAAGAGGACTATAAAGGAGGAGAGAGACAACATGCACCAGGAACATCTAAGGGGAACATCTGAAGGAACACCTGTGCAGCCCCCGAGAGAGCCGGCCGGCAGTGTGCCGCTCCCCCGCGGAAGTGGGGAAAGTGGCTAGGGGGAACCGCCCTTCCACAGAGGTGGAAGGGACGGTAGCCAACCCAGGAAGAACCAGCAGCAAACCCGGGGAGGACCGAGCAGACGAAAGAACAACGCAGGGTCCTGTGTCGTTCCTCCACGAAGACGGGGAGCGACATAATGGTGCCGTGACTCGGATAGGAAGCCTAGGCAGGGCTTAGTGTCGTTCCTCCACGAAGAGGGGGAGTGACATAATGGTGCCGTGACTCGGATAGGAAACCTAGGAGGGAAGAAATGGGAAGAAGTGGAAAATACCGGAGAGAGAGACTAGCAAAGAGCCTAGGGAAAAGCCGGACAGAAAAGGTGCCGGAAGAAGCTATCGAAAGCCTAGGCATAGACTCGGATACGGACTGTGGGAAAGAAGTTAGGATTTAAAGTGAAAGCAAGAAGAAACTTAGACTCAGATACGGACTGCAGGTTGAAAGTGAAAGTGAAACCTATAAGAAACTTAGACTTGGATACGGACTGTGGGGAGAGGCCAGGAGAAATGAGGGAGGAATATTGTTGGAAGAAAACTTAGGGAAACATACTGGGTAGAGAAAAATGTTAGGGAGGATGAAGCCGCGAGTGCAGGCCGAGGCGGAAACGTAAGCCAGCTTGGAATTCTTTAAGTCAGCCCGGGGAGCAAAAGGCGAAAATCTGGAACCAGAGGCAGAGACGTGGGCCGCCAGGTTGGAATCCGTCAGATTAGCTCGGGGAGCAAAGGACGGGAAGCCAGACCGAAAGGCGCAGACGCGTGAGCTAGGTTGAATTTGCCAGGTTAGCCCGGGGAACTTAGATTGAATACCAGTGGTGGCGGAAACGTAAGCTACGCTGTGTGACTCGCGGAAGCTGCCGCGTGCAGAGAGAGCATGGGGCGTGAATAGATAGGGAACGTGGGGCTAGTGCGAGGCCGTGGTGTAGGCGCGAAGGGGCGCGGAGACCGCAGAGTGCGCGCGCGAAGCCGGGAAGCCGCGCAGATGAGAGAAGCGCGGGCTGAAGCGGCTCAGAGCCAGGAAGCCGCCGAGAAGCAGCCTCAGGGCGGGCGCTGGGAAGCCGCAGGGATAAGAGAAACAGAAATTTAGAAGTAAAATGAGAGAAATAGGAATGCTGGCAGATAGAAGTAAAATGGGAGAGATAGGAATGCCCGGAGATAGAGAAATAGAGAAAAATAAGGCCTCCCCTCAACATGGCAATGAGAGAGCTTGGATTTGGTCTGCCTGATTAGTGAGGCGATGAGCACCTGCGGGCGGCTAGCAGTTTATGCGCTGCAGGTCACCGAAGACAGGCACGAATTAACATCAGTAAGTCTCCCCACAAGACGGCAATGGGAGGGCTTGGATTCGGTTTGCCTGATTGCTAGGGCTTGTAAGCACCTGCAGGCAGTTCTAGCAGAGCAGAGATGCGCTGCAGGGCACCGAACACAGGCACGCATCAGCGCCTAAAAACCTCCTCACAACATGGCGAAGAGAGGACCCGGATTCGGTTTGCCTGATTGGTAGGCTTGTAAGCACCTGTGGGCAACTCTAGCAAGCAGAGTAGAGTGTGTGCCACGGGGCACCGAAGACAGGCGCGTATCAACGCCAAAAATAAAAAGAAAGGGGGATCTGTGGGGAGCAACTGGGAGCAACTCGGACTAGACTAAGTTACTCGAATTAAGACTTATTCTATGCATCTGCTCTCCCACAATATGGCACTGAGAAGGGAGAAACAGCTTTTACACAGCTGCCTCCAGTTCAACCAATAAACTGTAGGACCTACTCCTGATTGGAGGAGAGCAGTGTACTTGGCGTGTGGGTAGCAGAGTTGGGATTGGCGGAAGAGGACTATAAAGGAGGAGAGAGACAACATGCACCAGGAACATCTAAGGGGAACATCTGAAGGAACACCTGTGCAGCCCCCGAGAGAGCCGGCTGGCGGTGTGCCGCTCCCCCGCGGAAGTGGGGAAAGTGGCTAGGGGGAACCGCCCTTCCACAGAGGTGGAAGTGTCGGTAGCCAACCCGGGAAGAACCAGCAGCAAAACCGGGGAGGGCCAAGCAGACGAAAGAACAACGCAGGGTCCTGTGTCGTTCCTCCACGAAGACGGGGAGCGACAGAAGTGGAGCAGCTGAGACTGGAACTGGAAGCGCATACAGGATGCCAGCATTGCAGGTGGTAGCTTAACCTGCTTTGCCATAGCACCAGCCCCCAAAAGCCTGATTGATTTAACTTGCTAAGCCTATTGGTGCTTTCTATAACAGCTAACATTTGACTAACACCTCTCTTGATGTAGGTATTGTGCCTTAAAAAAGATTGCTGAAATTATGCTGTTTCCAAGTCAGTAATTATCCACTGTCTAGTAGCAAAAATATGTATCTCAAGAGTTGAGCTGGAAAGGAAGAGGCTAGAGAAAAGTTCCAGCTGCCTACTCGTGGGCCCATAAGTGTGTCAGCTAAGGAGTGACATTGTTCTACATACAGGACTGTGCTGTGTTCCACACTTGGGCCTACACAAAAGAAGACGATTCCTAGGGCTTACTTGGCCAGTGTGCCTGTGAAGTTATTCTCACAATGTCATTTTACAGTCAGACAGGAATGGCTTCTTTGTACAGTGAAGGTTAAGAGGAGCCACAGGCCACCAAATTAGAAAAAGGTTAAAAAGTGCAAATAAGAAAAGACTAGGGCAAGGAAAAAGAACACCTAAAATATACCTCCCTTACTCCTTTGGTATCATCTGTTTTTAAAGATGTATTCATTCATTTATTTGCAAAGTCAGAGTTGAAGAGAAGATAAAGAATTCTCATCTGCTGGTTCACTCCACAGATGACTGCAATGGCCAGTGGTGAGTTAAACTGAAGCCAGAAGCCAGGAGCTTCATCTGAGTCTCCCACACGAGTGGCAGGGGCGCAAGCACTTGGGCCATTAGCAGGGCAATGGGTCAGACATGGAGCAGCCGGGACATGAACTGGCACCCATATGGGATGCCAGCTCTGCATGCAGCTGCAGCTTTGCTGTGCCACAACACAGGCCCCCATCTGGCCTTTTTAACAGAGAATAGAATTAACCCACTAGTTCTGTCCCCTTTCAGTAAATGCTATGGTATTATATTAAAATAGAATGTTTAGTTGCTGGAAAAGGGTTCTATTCCAATGAAAGCTCATTACTCTGACCTCTTCTGATTTTTGATTCACTTTAAATTTGCATGCCTCTCCTTTCACAAACTTATGTAGAAATTTTCAATTGCATCAGATTTCCTTATTGGTAATACAAACTAGTAATTGTGGAATAACCCTACATTTTTCAGTTTAAAAGTTTCAAGATCAGCTTGTAGATATTCTAAGCTAAGGGTTGATGTTTTCTTTTTTTTAGTGGCAGATGTCCTCCCTGTAACCTTCCTCCTTTCAGAGGATGGCAGTTAGGCAGCCCAAAGTGCTGCTTGAGCAGAAAGGTTTTCTATTCTTCCTCACTCTTGAGGGCAGATAGTTATGTTTGCTGGGACAGATTATGTGGTAGACAATACCTTACCCACACACAGTCGTACCAGGTTAGAACAAGGGATTTGGGAGGTGGCTGTCAGAGTATAGAATGGTCACCTTGAAACAGCACAGTATGTGAGGTTCCAGGTGTCAACCTGGGGAAGTGGGAATGGAGCACAGGGTCTGGCTCAGCAGCCGGTTGCAAAGCTGGCGTTGGGATGATCGGTATCACAGTAATACTGCTCTGGTACTTTGGAGAAGAGCAGAGGCACCTTACAAACCCTTAGCTCATGTGTGGAGAAGCTTGAACTAACTACAGAATCTCTGTTCTCTAAAGCCGAGTCAGTGTTAGGCCATAGTTTTCAGTTAGCACAGTGTTGACGGGAATATGGGGGGGTGGGGTGTGTGTGTGCACTGCCTCAGTGTGTCATGGCTCTGGCTGGAAGTGATTCCTTTTCATCTCTTGTAAAATACTTCCTATCTTAATTAATAAATAAAATTATCCTGTAACTGAATAGTTACAGGAGCTAATTTTAAAACATGTACCGTTTTCATCCTGAATGTAGAATAAGATTTGATCTTTGGAGTATAGCTTCATTTTTTTATTAATTTGTTTAGTATAATCGGTATTAATTTAACAGAATGAATGCCTCATTGGGACTCATTTTAAATAACAGTATTCTTTGATTTGAAACTGTCATCTTTTTGTAAACTGTTAGAAACATTAAACCTTTGCTTATAAAGAAAAGCTTTTAGAATAATCTTGTTATCTTGGGATGCATGTACAACTGTTAACATTATT